CTATTTGAACACTGCAACATTGAGAACTATCAGTTTGTTTTATGAGTTCCTCTTTACTCTCATGTGTGAACAAAGCAGTGGCTGCATCTGTACTGAAAATATTCCATAACACAAGTTCATCTTTGTGCATTACAACATTTGTTTTATTGAATTATTAGTTTTTCAGGAAGACGTGCACACAAGTCCAGCACAGACTGGTCTCCTGCACTGGAGCCGACAGACCCTGACTCTGAGAACATCAGCAGCAGAGGAACAGCAGGGAAAGACACAAGCAGCCGGCACGATCATTCAAACATATTCAAATAAATCTAAGATAAAATTAATACAATCAATATAAAGTTGAACATATAACTTTGTGAATGAGTAAAATGTTAGCAACTGTATTAATCGTCTTATTATAGAGTTTGTGATGCAACATGACAATGTTACTAATCTTTTTTTTTAAGGTTCAGACGAGTGAAGGACCGAGTTCAATCCAAAGAAAAGCTCCAGAGTGAGGACTCTCCTAGACCTGGGTCCAGTCTCAGATCCTAGACCTGGGTCCGGTCTCGGATCCTAGACCTGGGTCCGGTCTCGGATCCTAGACCTGGGTCCGGTCTCAGATCCTAGACCTGGGTCCACTCTCAGATCCTAGACCTGGGTCCGGTCTCAGATCCTAGACCTGGGTCCGGTCTCAGATCCTAGACCTGGGTCCGGTCTCAGATCCTAGACCTGGGTCCGGTCTCAGATCCTAGGCCTGGGTCCGGTCTCAGATCCTAGGCCTGGGTCCGGTCTCAGATCCTAGGCCTGGGTCCAGTCTCAGATCCTAGGCCTGGGTCCGGTCTCAGATCCTAGGCCTGGGTCCGGTCTCAGATCCTAGACCTGGGTCCGGTCTCAGATCCTAGGCCTGGGTCCAGTCTCAGATCCTAGACCTGGGTCCATTCTCAGATCCTAGACCTGGGTCCGGTCTCAGATCCTAGACCTGGGTCCGGTCTCAGATCCTAGACCTGGGTCCGGTCTCAGATCCTAGGCCTGGGTCCGGTCTCGGATCCTAGACCTGGGTCCAGTCTTGGATCCCGAGAGGTTGGTGGTCCCACATGACGAGGAATCTGTTCCAGTGTGTTTAAAGTCAGAACCTCCACTGGTCTCCATCAGTCCTTGTTGAAGAGTTGTTGATCTGGTATTTATTCTGTAGCGCTCTATGATCAGCAGCATGGAGTCATTTCATTAAAAGACATCAAATCTCCCACAGTTCTCATCTTGTATCAGTTTCAACTGTGTTGAACTTCTAATTATAGGCTTTGACTTAGAACTGTGTCAGTCTCCTCCTGGAGGAGGAA